CTGCTCGTTTTATTAATCACGTATTAAATTACTGCAACTCGGTTTTTTAAACCCTACTTAGCATCTAGTGTTGATTTTGTTGACCTACTTACGGACTAGTTATTTTAAGCCTCTCTGCAGGGTCAGCCTCGAAGGCCGACATGCACACAACTCGTCTTCTCAGTCCAACCACTTGTTACCCGTGAGCAACCCAACTTTCTCTTCAGCTTTCTAAGGAAAGGAATCCTCTCTTCTCCCACAACCCCGGCTATTTCTCTGTTACCTCTTCACCCTCCCCACACATTTGTTTTTAAAAGACATCTGAACTCAAAAGAATCAGCGGACGTAGACATAAGATGGTTTGTCTTTCCATCTAAAACTAATATTTACCTGTTTAGATCATCACCTTTTCTAACACTCCTCCGGAGGGGTCTTCCTGTTGCAAGAAAGAAAGAATCCCCCCCTCCGTTACCCACCTTGTGAAGTTTGATCGCGTTGAGATAGGTCTAGAGACGGGGCTTTAGGAAAGAAATTTTTCTCTTCCTCTTCTTCTTCTTCCTCCTCCTCTTCCTCCTCCTCGTCTTCTTGTCTTCCTTTGCGCCTCCCTGATCCATAGTTAGGTTTCAGTAGGATGGACATCTCGTAGTTTCTTTTCTCTGCGAAGTCCGAAGGTGAAGGGCTTCCTCCTAGTCGAGTCCCGTTCGGAGCGGCGGAAGTTAATTCTCCGCAAGGTGGCCGCGGCGGAGGAAAGACGATTAACGAAGGCTGTTGAAGGGCGCTGGAGGCGAAGCTGGGCTGCGGAGGTCTACCCTGGCGGGCCGAGAAAGCCGGTTCTTTCCGCTCCAGCCCAGGGAGAGGAGACACCGGGGGCTGGAGGGTCGGAGGGAACTTGCCAGCTTCGAACTCCAAGCAAGACGGCGCCTGTTCTTTGCGCCTCGGCGCGTATAAACAAGAAGAGCTGATCTTGGGAGCAAGGAATTCATGGTGGGGATGACTTCTCCAGCCTGGGTGGTGGAAAGGAGGCGGAAGGAAGCGCAGCCCGGATTGGTGGCTATCCATGCCTCTGCCCCATAGAAGCACCACCACCACCCCGCCTCAAGTTGAAAGGAAAACGGGAGGGGGGGGGAGAGACTAAGAAAAGCCAGTTCTTGAAATGGGGAGGGGGAGGGGAGTAGCAGAAATGTTGCGAAAATCCACCCTCCAGGCAAGAGCTTGGGGGGGTGGGGAAGGAAATATACCGAGCGATTCTCTGTTGCGTTGGGTGTGGGCGAGACAGAGGAAATGTTGAAGGGAGACGGGCTCTCGCAATGGACTTATCTGTTGGAAAATGCGTCGGCCGAGCCACTTCCGGCGGGCTAGCCAATCCCAGATGGACATGGCTTCGACGGACATCCCCTGGTGTCAATTTTAATGGCAAACTTTAGTGGTTAAGGGAGGGTGTGTGTGTGTTTTTTAAAAAAAGACCGAAATCTTCGGCGCAGACATCTGCAGTTGGCCATTCACCCTCCCTCTCTCCACTCCTCCCTCCCCCCCCGACACAGAATGCGTCTTCAGCCCAAGAGGATCAGCACCGAAAAGCGATCACGATAATATACATGATAGGAATCCTGGTGGTCATAGTCACGGGTTCGCTGCTAGGGGGTCCCGTTTGGCCTCTGCTGAGGGTTGGTGGCTGGTGGTTACACCGAGTAGGCCAGCTAAGGGGAGATTGGGCAATAAGGGGGCCTGTCTCGCTGGTATGGTGGGATCCTCGGCCTGTTTGGAATGACAGGGAGCGACTATTCCCTCCGCACAATCGAAACTTAGCGGGCACCAGCCGGACTCGGTTCTGAAGCCTGCAGAGAAAAGGCGACCCCCAGGAACAACACAGACCGTTGGGTAAGGGACCCCCTTCGGCTTCAGACGAGCAGGTTTCCCAAGCCCTTCTCCTCTCCGGCCTGAAGGTTGGGGAGGAGGCAGGCGAGCCAGTTACAGGACTGCAGGATGCCAATAAAAACCAATAAAGTTTGCGACCAGTGAGGCTGAAGTCGCACCTGGAGATGGTCTCCTGTTGCCTTACGTGAGCAGAAAGACAGTCCGACCTAGCCTAGAGAGATGGGGGTTGTGCTTTAAGAGGCTAATGCCACATCCTTCGACCACCAGACCACACTAGGGAATGTCTGTCCTGATCTCCATTGGGTTTGCCTAGCGTTTTTATAAAATTCCAGATTAACTACTGTATATTTTACCTTCTCTCTCGGGATGTGATGTTTGGTTGCATGTATACACAGAAGGAGGATCCAAGTTACAAAAAGCCCTCTTCACTACTGTATATTTTACCTTCTCTCTCTTGGGATGTTGATGTTTGGTTGCATGTATACACAGAAACCTAGGAGGATCCAAGTTACAAAAAGCCCTCTGGAGACACGACAATGAGTATATATGCGCGCACACACACACTCTCTTATGTCTCCGGAGGGCTTTTATAACCCGAACCCTCCCAGCGAGAGCTAGTTATCTGCAATTTAATTAACGGAGTCCCGGCACCTTGTTTCTCTCCCCTTGTTCCTTCGTTCCGAAAAAGACTGAACTGGATCACCATCAACATCACTATCAGCATCCAAGTGGAAAGAAGGGTTCGGCCTAACTGGAGAGCTTTGTGTCACCAACCTAAAATACGTTTCAAACTGAATTATAAAGGGGGGGTATGGAGGGGTCTGCGAGCACGTGACGTGACTTGCGCTGGTAATTTCTGAAATGCACGGAATTCCGTGGAGTATTCTCTTCGACACAGCACATACTGATATGCCCGAGAAAAGGAGGAGAAAAAATCCTGATCTACACACCGTCCTACTCACGGCTAGCCAGTGAGCTTTACTCCCAAGGCAGTGTTTTTGGGATTGCCTTGAAGAGCATGTTAATCCCCAGTGATACCAAAGAGAACCTACCTGAGGCCTGTGCACGCCAACATACACAGACACCTGTAGCAGCATCCACAAACGCGCATCAGGAGATTTGGGGCGCTCTTTATGAGGACTTTCTTGTCATCAGGTCACAAAAAATGGGAGACCCAATTCAGAAACTCCTGGAAGAGCAAACCCTCTGGGAGATTTCATCAGAGGTCAAATCACGAGTCCATAGCTTGGTCTCGCCTTCCTTCCACTGACTACGGCTGGAGAAAACCGTTTTCCTGACCATGAAGGATAGTTTCAGAGAGTAGCTCGGCTGGTCTGCAGTAGAAGTTACACTCGAGTCCAGGAACCACCTACTTGCCACACCAACCCTTTAGCAGACAGGCCTGAACTTCTGGAGAATTTTCCAGCAGCCCAGTGAGAAAAACTCTGAGAAGTACGACCCTGATTGTAAGCAAACGGGGGGGGGGGTTAGTTCTGTTGTGGACTCGCTTTTACATAGATGTGACACAACCCAGCGGGAAGGTTTGCCACACCAGGATTACAGAGGTGAATGGGAAAGGAAATACACCCTCAAATGCCTCGAAGACTTAAACTGTCTTGGGCTAAAACAAGAGGAGCACCCCAACCTGCCTCAACTGAAGTTAATAGTATGGGGGGGGGGAAGGATCACATTCAGTTCAAAACGGGGCCGCACTGCCATTAAATGAAGTCGATAGGGTAATAGTAGAAAAGGGCAAGAGTGAGGGAGAGAGCAGTGACTCACGAAAGCTCCTCCCCTGCCGCGAATTTGTTAGTCTTTAAGGTGCTCCCGGTCTCTTGCTCTTTTCTGCTGAATACGTTTCCCTGTTCATCAGAGCTCTTATTCGGCAAGCAAAAAAAGAAACAAACAGAAAGACTGATCGAGGGAGGAGATAAAAGTTTGCCCGAGTAGGAAAGTTGTTACAGTACTATGTGATATTTTAGTTGGTCAATTTTAGTGGGAGGGTAGAGTTGGAAGGCAGATTCTGGGCAACGTTAAAGGGCAGCCGATCGTCCAATATCATTGCAGATTTCTTCTGTATTTTTCTCCTCGGGCTTGAACCAGCCCTGCTTCTCCACACTTGGGCCTCGGAATTTGTAGACTCCCCCTACCTCCAGTCCAACTTCAGCTCAGAGCGAGATATGGACGGGGAAATCCCAGATACTCCTTCCCCCCATTCAGCGGGAAGTTCTCAGTGGAAAGAAACCAGAACGGTAGCGCTCTGGCTCAACACCTTTCCTTCTTTCAAGCGGGGCTTGTCTTCCGTTGTCTCCCTGGTTTTCCTTGAAACCCACCGGGTCGTTGTAGAATCTCCGGCGACCGACTGTTCCAAGGCGAAAAGCGAAGGTGGAACTTTCTCTCTGGTTTAGCCCAGTTGGAGATTAACAGTGCAATCTGGTTGGCTACTGGAGATTAACAGTGCAATCCCAAACAGAGTTACTCCAGTCTAAACGCGCTGAAATCAATGGGCTAAACTGGAGTAACTTTTTTTATGGATTGTACTGTAAGTAATTCAGCGGTGCCACCAACCGTTAAAAGGAAGAACAACTAAAGGTCAAAACCATAGATAGTTCAAAGACGAACTGAAATCACTGACTGCAGGCATTCACAAGAGCGTTTTTGTTTTATTTGGGGGGTGGAGGGATCACGCCATTTCAAAGTAAACCAGCTGTTTTTAGCTGTAGCACTAAAAGCCTTTCTTCCCCCGACTGGAAGAAAAGTCTCTAACGTCAGGGTTCCCTCCTGTGTAACAATGCTCAGCGGCATAAACTCCTCTTGGTTTGAACGCGTTGGGTTTGCATCCCCACCCCAAGTCCTCAACGTATTTGCAATGCAATTTACTTCCAAGGGTTTTAGGATTTCAGCCTTCATTACCAAACAGAGTGATGATACCTGTGAGCCACGAGACCTGTAATAACATTCAGAGTCTGGTACGAGATTTTCTAGCGCCAGACTTCTGTTGCGGGGGGGGGAGAAGGGGAATCCCTCGTGGCTGCCGAGAGAGACACCCCATTTGGTTCAAGGGCAAGATGGAAGGATTCTACTCCAGGCGCTGCCGCCGAAATGCAATCGAGCCAAGCAAGAGAAGGGCCGTGTCGGTTCATTCCGACTGGCCTTGCGCGGGAGAACGTCCCGCAGGATCAGGCCCCCAATCAGAAACTGCAGGAAGGCGCCCAAAGACTGGGATGCTTCAGTCTTACGGAGGCAGACTTAGTCTCCAATCCCGGGTGCTCACTTATTGCCAAATTAAGTCCCATGGAATTAACTGGGATTTGTTTTCCAGGGTGTATTGCCCTGGGGGGCTCTGCTTACTGGAATTTAGCTCCCCCTGGGTATGCATTCTTAGAGATGCAGACTTTCATTACAGACCTCGATACGTTTACTCGGAAGTAATCGGGTTGAATTCAGGAGGACTTCGCTCCAAGTCAACTCAGCCCTCAGTCACGGAAGACTACCATCCTAAGCATCCCTACACAGAAGTAAATTCTGTAAAACGCCAAGGGCCTGGTTTCCTCGTCAGTAAGTGGAGGATTGAAAGGGTCGGTGCACTTTGATTGGAAGAGGTATTCCGGGCAGTGTAGAAGACCCTCGTTTCTCCCTTCTCTCTACCCTTTCTTCTTAGCCCAGTTGGTTGTCTTGAGACAGTTCACTTTTCCATGGTCAAAATCCTTCCCATATCCCAAACTAATCCTAGACGGGATTAGGACGAGTTTCCTCATACACGCGCGCAGGATAGTGACGAGGCGGAGTCAGATCAGCAACGATCTCACCTGGGTGGATTTTTCAGGTTCCCCGGTCCATAAAGTTTATGAGCACCAAGGGATCTCGGTTGAGGCTGGACTCTTCTCCCCGCCACCACCCCCTCTCTTCATCTGCTCCTCGGCTGAATCTGATCCCTCAGTGTAAACAGTATAAAGGCTGAGTTAATTTGAATTAGGGCTGTGTGGGACTGACCGCCGACCAATGCTCCGTCTAAGCTGCGGAGTCTTGTGAGAAAAAAAATTACTTTGTGAGCTACACTGGCGCTAAAGTTGTGAGCGAGCGATTTGAGTTAGTTTGCTCTGGAGCCATCCTTCTTGAGCTAAGACAAAAATGTGTGATCCGGAGGCTAAAAAACTGAACTAGCTCACACTAACTCAGTTTAGAGGGAACAGCGGTTGTGAGCGAGC